TTTTGTTTCTGGGCGAATTGGTTGCTGGACGAAATTATCCAGGCAGCATTGTCCGTCTGAGAACAATGGTAATGCGAACGGTACTTAGTACTTTGAACGCGATCTAGTAATGACTTAAAGCCGAGACTTTTATACCTAAAACGTCAGTATAAAGGATGAATCAAACCCAAAATGCATGCAGGAAGACTATGTTATTCATAAAAACGATAAAATTAAAATTAAAACCTGTCTGGTTTCATGTTATTCTCGCCTCTTGAATGTCTGAAGAGCACCTTAACCCCCAAAGTACGTTTTTGTCTTTTGCCTAAAATAAGTGAAACTTTGAGAACCCACGGGAGTAATTGCACATGGCAGAATTTAAATGCACGCGAGGAAAAGTTTATTTAATATATGTTCTTCTAATATCAATAAAAAAATTCATGCCATCTCTTTATTTAATATTGCCGAAATTATTTACAAGGAGGGTCTGTTGCAATTTCACAATTTCAGGGATTTCAGGTTGTAATCGGCCCTTGTGCACTGGAGTAGAAATAAACGATGTCTAGGACAAAATATTTCATGTCATTAAATTTAAACCCCCTATTTATGGAAAATACTTTAAAATTGTACTTACTATGGATGTTATATGATTTAATATCAATTTGAAGTCCGGAATTGTTTAGATTTTTAAAAGATAACCGTTATTACAAATAATGACGTTCTATACGGCAATTGCCGTATCGCCGTTCAAATGCAGTATGATACGGCAATCGAGCCCATCGTCTCCACTGATGTAATAGTTATAATCATAAACATTTGCTATTGTCCGGGTTGCATTTTGAACTCACAACTATTATGATGTGCTTACGTCAATGTTTACAAGAAATATTTATTCAACAGCAAACCGGAAGTAAACAAATGATGGAAAGAAAACTAATAAATTCCAATATGGCGTTTTTCTAGGATTCGTGAGAGGTAACTTTGATTAGTTCTAGCGCAAAATTCCCACATAGGATCGCGAATTCCTGCATACAAGTGCTAGATTAGATTAAATACTTGAAGAAAATGCAATAAAAAGCGTTCCATCGATCGATTTAGACTTTCCAAGAATGCAAGTTCGGTGGTGACTTCATTGGTTTGTAACATTGACAGGAAAAATCACAAGATCGAACGGCATTTTTCTCCACAATTTTGGAATGAAATACTTCCCTGGGATTTTAATATATCATTAATGTATACCAAAGTTTACGTACTATAAAAGAAATATTACTTAGATTGTATATATATTAAACACTAGGTCTTCTAATTAACCTGATGTTTAAATTATGAATTACAATGAACATTATGCTTATTAGCGTGATTCACGTCAATTGGCGTGCAAAATCGCAATCTCCCTGTTACACGTTAAATGGGGTTATCGTCTCCACTGTTCAAAGGGATCTTAAAGACCTGAAAGGAGGTTTTTAAACTAATGAAAGGGAGATTGCAAAGGACACTATTTTTTCTCATGTTTTTCTTAATTAAATAGATTCAATATCAACAGGTCTTAGATATTAACAAAATAATGATTTTGGATATTCTGATATATTTTTATCAGGTATGACTTATTGCTAAAGTTATGACTTAATTTTCAAATTTATGATTTAATGTTTAAGTTATGACTTAATTTTCAAAGTTATGATTATTCTTTAAGTCATAAAATCTCATAATGGGGATGTTCTCTTTTTCAATCCTGAAATCAGTATGGCCATTTCTGTGTAATAAATTTCTCCTGGGCAACTTCCTTTAATTTTTTAAATTCAATTTTTAGAAAAACACTGAAAATAAAAATAAGGAATTTGTATGCCAAAAAGGCAGATTATTTATCTTAAAATTAGAAGATGATAGATACCCCAAGTCAGGAAATTCCCTTATCAAAAGGAAGAGTTGGCAGGTATGTTGTTAAATAGACCGGAAAAACTAAACTCTAAAGACTCTAATAACAGTACAATTAACTGAGTTTAGGATTCATAAATTTCCAGCAATTAAGACAATGCATTTCCTTTCTATCTTGCAATTGTCCTGGGGATGAGACGTCTAGGGGTGAAATGTTGATGGGATATGAAATGTGTATTGGGTGGAATGTCTAAGGAATGAAATGTTTATGGGGTGAAATGCCTAAGGGGTGAAATGTCTAAAGGGTGAAATGTCGATGTGATGAAATGTCTAAAGGGTGAACATTCTATGGGGGGAACATCCAAGGGGTGAAACATATTGATACCATATTTTAAAAATATCATTTTGTTCAGCTTAGCCGAACCTATAGAAGATAGGCAAGCAATAATGTATGAAAAATGTTTATGATGAAATAATCTGTCCATGTATAAATAAAAATCATATCAAATCACTCATAACACGATCAATACAGATAACTGAGATAACCAGGCAGAAGTATTGGCTTCTGGCAAAATCCACACCCACGATGTGTCATGACGTTATATTAGAAATTCTTTTGAGGTGTTCTATGCCAACAAAGCATTAGCCTAGATCAACTGATTTTTAAAGATGCTAAAGAAGCTTCTACTTAGCACAAAGACCAACTTTTTGTTATTTTAACTACAAAGCTTAGGGATATTTCCCGACAAAACATGATTAATTAAGACAAAACTATCAACCTATTGTTATTTTTGCAGACTTTTTGAGGTTATGTGACCATGACAGTTTTGACATACTATTACTATAACCGAGATACTGAGTTATTCTAGCGCCAAATCTATAAGTTGTTGTCATGAACTACTATGAAGACTGAACCTAAGTAGAAATATACATTCGTTTCACATTCTCACGCATTTAAATTACAAAACATAGTTTTCTAATCTTTTGAACTTAACAAAAAATAATTCCAGGAGAAAGAGCACTACAAAATGTATTCATTACAAATAAATGAAACAGATTAAAATACATTTGTTTGATAAAAATGTTACACCAATAATCATGATATTTTTTGTCATAACAACATCACAGACATTAAAAAGCCAAACGTTGTTGGATATTAAGTCATCTAATTATATCAACTACATGTTTTCAAGCTCAATTAATGCACTCACTCAACTGCAAGCGATACACCCTTCGCAAAATTGATAAAAAAGCCATAAATCATGCAATAATTGACTTTTTGACATAAAATTTAAGACAAACCCACTAAATGATAGATTACATTTTTACAAAATATGGCAACCATTTTGTTTTTAAGTGGTCATATTAAAAATTTGTTCACAAATGGCATCAGTTGATAACAGATTTAGAGGTTATGTCACTATCGTGGCATATATGCCCGAGGTCTCAGTGATATATGGCCCGACCTTGGGAGGGACATTGATCTCTGAGAACCGAGGGCATATGTGCAACGATAGTGACATAAACGATTTATAACATACCTATAATGATGTAGACTGGTCAGAGAGTACCATTTTCTTAAAGAATTGACAAACAAATGGTTTGAAAATGAGTTTAGAAAAATTGCTCGCGCAGTTTTATCTTCGATTGATTGGTTATGACGTCAGCGCCTTGACCAATCAGAAAGTTAGCGGGCGCGGGCTTTTCAAAACTTATATTGGCCCGCCGTCTTGTTATAAATTTCAGTTATTGCCCAGACAGACGCATAGACGAATGAACATACAGCTTCTTTATATCATCTTGAACTTCCTTCAGCCTGATAATTAGAACCATTATCTTAAATCCTCAAGCCTTATCTTATTTTACAGAGCATTTATAACATGAAAAAGAGATTACTTTTTACTCAAGGGAGGCCTTGTTTATACTCAAACATCATTCTATTCTGAAAGACAAGACACTATCACGTCCTCCCAACAACAGGAAAAATCAATGACATTACGTTAACATGAGCAGTTTTAATCATTTATTGAATATTTGTCATTCATGCGAAATAACTTTAAAGTGCATAAACGTAATGATCGCTTTATTGTAAGTAGGCGATGCTATTACCTGCTTATAAAACATGTCATATTCGTTCTATTTATAGACATACAAATGTCATATTGACATTAAAGTAGCATTAAACAGAAACTTCTTTTACAGAATTCTACTTTAGAATTTAGGCATGCCTTGAGATTTTAAGCCCATTGCGATGTAAACTACTATTACTAGACTGGAATGGAGGTTTAAACTAATTAATAAGTGAAATAATGTATGAAATTATGTCTAATATCCTTTTCACATTAGGTTACAATGACCTTGATATATTCACCACTGTGGAGTTACCATTATGAAAGATGGTAACATTGATCTTATTTGAATATTCACCACATACACTGTGGAGTTACCATTTTGAAATTTTCAAGGTGGTAACATTTTTTCCTGGCCATTTAGTTGTTTAAATTTTACAATTTTTTTTATTCATTTCATTAAAACATTCGTACAAATCTGTGGCCAATGGCACCTATAAGGGTGTATATTCGACCACATTCAAAAATGTAAATAAAAACAAATCTCTACATATATTAATTCAGATCAAGATGTACGTGACTTCAATTATCAACAAATGGAATTTCATTTAACTTGAGATAAAGGAATGCAAAAACATCAATTTATTCAAAAAGCTTAAATAAAATTGACAGTTTGTGACTATTTTACATGATTTGTTTGTATTTTTCATCATTATCATTTTCCGTGACAGCATATGTGAAATATATGGCTGGTTTGCATTTTTATTTTCTTGGCATTAGTTATGCACTTTTCACCAAAGTTACTATTAAAACAAGTGCAAAACCCAAATGCTGTGTGAACATTGTTACCCCAAAACAATCTTAGGGGGAGGGGCCAATCTGAAATGTAATTAACAACAACATTACCTGGGGGACATCAACAAAAACTTTGTAAAGTTATCAATTTGTGAAGACCATTGTTCTCTAACTGTGACATCATTGCATCCATGGTAACAACAATTGATTTATGAATTCGCAAATTTACAAGTTTCTGTGAATGACCTCCTGGTCAATATAGTCCTTAAGATGTGAACTTACATATTTAGCTATAAATGATCTATTGTCAGCAGGTCCTTCTTTTTCTTTGGCTGCTTTTTCTTGTTCCATTTTCTGGATATAACTCTGTGTGTCAGGCCTGGAAAGGTAATATAATATAATATAAAATCAAATATAATATAATATTTTAAATCAAATATAATATCTTAAATCAAATATTATATAACATATTAAAATCAAATATATATTTAATTGAACTGGTATTCACAATCAATAAAACCAACAGGGATTAATTGCTTTATTTATGACGCATTTTAGCAAAACACAGCTCCATAATGAAGGGTTTTGTACCTGTTGCACACCTGAAAACACTTCCTGTTTAGTGAATATCCAACATAATGAAGCAATGGTCCTACAGTGTTACTTTAAAATCATTAGTCTTACTATTTTCTAGCTCTGATAACTAAAATAAAGCAAAAATCATTCCCTCAACCTTTTCTTTGAAGTGAGTAAGTGTGTATTAATTACAGCTCACTAAAAAAACATTACTAAGAAACACATGACCTTTTTGAACATCAAAAATAAATTCAAAATACAATTGCAGATCTTACTTTTTGCCTAATTTAACACTGAAAACTGTAATCCCAAGAGCTTTGAAATCTTCAGAGGACATATGTTGGACATATAGCAACTACTAACATTTATTTAAAAGTTCTACATTTAACAAAGTGTCTGATATTTTAAGAAAGTTTGACCTTTTACGTCAAAATTGGCAATTTCTCGGAAACCAAATGAACTTGGGAAATGACCATGACAGGTCAAATAGGCACTAATGTGGATATGACATAATTTGTGCAGCCAATGTTGATGGACAGACTGACCAACTGATGGACAGACCAATGGACGAACCAAGCTGACAGAGAGATGACTAGTTGATCCGATAGTACCTAGCACTTAAAATAAAACAAATAAAGGCCTAAATGCACCCCTGTAATATGGCAGGTGATATGCTTCCGAGATAAATGAAATTTGCAAAATCCATGATAATATTTGTTATGGTGACTGAGATAATCGGTAAAGGAATTGGTTAAAGTGCAATTTGATAATATATTCAAACTTTGACAAAAGGTGACACGTGAACAGCAAACTTTGACACAAGGTGACACATGAACATCTTGTTCATGACACAATCATTTTGCATATCTGAAATTCCAGAAAAATTGATCACATAATTAAAAAAATTACTTATTTTTGTCTATTTCCTGAATATAGTGATTGTTCAATTAGAATGATATAATTCCAAATTGAAGAAGCAACGATCAATAAAAATGATTTTGTTAGTTTGAGTGCATTGTCCGCTGCCCACTAATAAGACAATGATTACATCATTCAAGACAGGAACTTTATAAAAGATTACTTTAGCTCAATATGATATCACAACATGCATTTTTAATGTTTTCAAATCTTGAATACAATAATAATCTGAAGTAGAGTCCTTTAGTGCAATAATCAAATCCAATATTTGCAATGTTCTTCATATTTGCAATGTTCTTAATAGATTCATTAGCAATGCAAATGTAAAATATAAATATTTTTGATATATACAGAATTTCAATTTATCCTTTTACACAAGGATATACATTGAACACAAATAATTGCCACCCCTCAGATATTTATTTTGCAAACCATAAACAGACTTATTATATATGGAACCCGTCATTTTTCAATCCAATCTGTAGATCCGAACACCTCTTTAATTTGAACAACTCTTAAGGTAAAAGTATTTTGGTCCCAATATTAATCTGCCATAAAACTTACACATTAAATAAAATAAAACAACAGTTTAAATTTGTCTCTTGTCAATAGATGGTGCCACAGGCAAGGATGACTTAATTTGATCAATGGATGAGATCCAAACATAAATTTTTGTGATTATTTTGTGTGGTACATATTAATAATGATATATTGAGTTTCTATAGTACTTTACTAAGTTAAACCATAAGAGTATGTCAATATGAAGATGTGCCGAATAGAATACCCTACAATGGTTTAAAACATTTTATGGATCTTTTAAAAAAAAAACAGGTAATAATTGTAAATAACCAAATGAATCAATACAAGCTTTGTCTGAAGAATTCACCATTAAGTAAAATTCCAACTCTTTACTCTCATCAAATTCGTTTCTTCTTCATTGTGTTATCTACTTGACCTACTTATTCCTAATGCCGATTACTTATGGTGATTTTATCTAATAAAACATTAGAACAAGATCAAGGGACACGGAAATTCAGTGTTCGCGCTAGCCATTAAAATTTCTGAGTCCCAGGGACGCAACCCATTTGAAAAATTTGAGTCCCCATCTAATTTTTTTGCGTCCCTCTTATTTCTTCACAAAGTTCAAGAAAATATTGTTAAAGCGAAAATAAAGTGGGCGATAATAGAGTGCTTACACTAAAATGGAATAAAAATGACATATATTGTAATTTGATGCATCCTCCCGATAAATATCTATCACTGGGTCCTTTTTACACAATTCTTAAGTAATGTTATACCAAAATAGTACGAAATGAATAAAGGAAATGCTCAAATTAAGAGTTTTGTTTTTCACATTTTACAAACTTGCGATCTTGAAGGTCATGTCAAGGTCGTGAACTTTTGCTTCTTTTTATTAACATTTCTCCTTATTCTGAAGACTTTTAGATGAAAAACCTCGATCTATCATTAAACAATTATCTTGATGTATAACATTAGATCAATATATAATGTTTTCTAGTGGAAATAATAAAGATAATCGTGAAAAGCAATCGTTTCAATTTGTGGGGAACCACAGGGGATTTCTGCAATATTGTATGTTTTGATCTTCCATTTTGATTGCGGCATTTTCCGGAATATATCGGAACCAATCAAAATCCATGTCTCATACTGGAAACTCTGTAAATCTTCGGTAGTCATGATAGCCAATCAGATTTGTCGATATAAATATACCTGGATCATTGCTCGTATATCAAGGTAGTGAGTTTGAAAATCTTGATGAAAATCATGTTTCACCGCTACTGTGCTGCAGTAAAAGTTATCTTGAAGCAGTTTATAATTTTTGCGTCCTAGGGACGTAAGTTGATTTTGATTTTTACGTCCAACCTTCTGAAATTTCCGTAAAAATGGCAAAAAACGGCGTCAACGTGAACACTGGAATGGACATGGACACTTACACTTATACCATGGGCTTTCAAAAGCCCATGCTTATACTCATTCTGATTCAGATTCTAACGATGATTGATGCGATTATCAACACTTCAACAGTATAATAAAGATTCAAACTCAGTGAATTAAATAAGGTAAACCTCAATTCTAGTGCAAATACAGCCAAGTACATGTGTCTGTAAAGTGTACAGGTCTATCAGGGCATTTCATTTAGGCTTAAGGGCATTCATTTTAGGCTCAAGGGCATTCATTCTAGGCTCAAGGGCATTCAATTTAGGCTCAAGACCAATTCACTTCTTTTTGACAGCATTTGCCTCATTTCTAGCTATGCTCATGATATCGTTTACATATTGTTCAAAGCTCAAATGGGATGGGTTCATGTTATATTTTTAAATAATTTTTTCCTCTGTTCAAATTGAACTTTAACAAAACTATAGCATAACAATGAGTTGGCATCTGAACTGTGAATTCATTTAAAAGATTAAGCACTAATATGTATAGCAGCATTGAAAAAGAAAGTAATGATAATGTGACCCTATGTTAACTGAACTAGTCTGACATCTATTTGAGGATGAATGACTTGATATCAAAGGAAACCTCCAGTAGCAGGCCCATCAACAGTTTTTGCCAAGGGTGGGTGTGGCTTTTTTAAATTCTAGGGAGGTTCAAATTGTCAGTTGTTAAACTATTAGCGGGGGGTGGTTCAATGGCCTTAGATCACTTGAAGAGTGCTCGAAATAGTGAAAAACTGCATGTTTTTGAAGAGTGTTTGGCAAGACGGAGACTTTTTGCTTGAACCAATTTGGTAATAATATTACCAAAATTGTTATATCCTAGCTAAGGTCTGGAGATGAACAATATAGTAATATTACCAAAACAAAAACTGTTCCTTGCCAGCCAGATTAAAATTGTTAGGGAATCTGGTTGCAAATTCTCCTTGGGCTGTGCTTTTACAAGTTTAAAACAAGTTAAATGTAGAATCTGTCTAATTTGAACACCACTGGGATCAGCCAAAAGGGTTCTGATTAGCAGGCATTCACATTTCAAGGTTTATTTAAGCATAAGTCAATAGGATATAACAAAATTGGGACAAAGAAATTGTTAAAGTTAACATGTGTTCGGATAAGAGAGATGTTCAGATATACAGCTTTCACGATAGTACTTACATAGGACCAGCTAAAGATGTTCTTATATCTACAGTTGTATTAAAGTTTTTAAGACTTGACTCTGGCACAGTTATCCCCGCACAATGAGATAGGTATGTCACCATAGAAATACCCACAATTCCTCCAGATGACCCGACACTGATGATTATCTGGTCAGATAATTTAGATTCGTACATTGAACACTGAAAAAAATGTTTTAAAGTGCATAATTTGCATCAGAACTATTCCAATACTACGACATGTAATATCTTCCATGGAATACATAATTGTCAAACATAATTGTAATAACGCAGATGCAAGTAGGTAGTTAACAGTCTCACCACCAGGTGGCTCGTCTGGGTCAGATAACATGGCAGGTATAGTAGAAAGTTCCCTTTAACTTAAATTACATCTGTTAAAATTAGTGGTTCAATTTACACACCACCTTCATGTATCTTATAGTTGTGCATATAAAAAAATGTCCCGTTAAACATTTTCTGTAAAAGAAAATGTTATCTGTCCAATACAAGAAAAGATATTTCACTTTTTGTGATTTTGTAACGTGGGCTCTATAGGGAATCTCCCTCTCTATAAGTCACTTTTAAAAAAAATTAAATTTTCAAAAGCTGATAAACAATTTTCGAAACCATACATCCAGATGTACTTTTACATGTACATTTCAAATATTACATCATTTTGACTGAATTGTGAATATTTATGACGTAAATCAAGATTATTTCTACTGCATCTAGTCTATTACATAACTGTATTACATTATTGTAATTACATAACTGTTTTACATAATTGTACTACATAATTGTTTTACATAATTCCACTACATAATTGCTTTACATAATTCTAGTACATAATTGTTTCAACTAATTGTACTACATAATTAGCCTGTATTTTTATGAGATGATTAACTGCCAATCAAAAAAATACATCTTTTAATTTTTAGGATGTTGTGGAAAACTTTGGAAGTTTCTGTTCTTGTATAAATGTAACATATAACTGGTCTGTAAAATCTACTTACAGCTTTCATGAAAGATGACACATATTGCACATTGCTATTTGAAGTCTTCACAGGTATTCTGATTCTGTAGTTGCCATCACTTTTTACCAAAGCCTGAAACATGATAAACTTATTTAGAGTCACATAAGTACAACCTTTCAAGTGTAGGACCTAAGGAACTGAAACCTGATGGTCAAAATGGCATTACGGACCAGTTGTAATGTTATTTTCCTATACCTAGTGAAAAAATCATCTGGTTCGTCTCAAAAGTAGCCTGGTCCAGGAGTATGACCTTCAACAGGAGTACAATATTTAACATGAGTACAACCTTCAACATGAGTAACAACCTTTAACATGAGTACAACCTTCGATCTCATAAATGTTCGATAAGGGAATTCACTAATTTGTTAACAACCAACCATTTTCAAAATGTGACATCATTTTATATTTGAATATACTTTTTGCATCTGAAGTTAAACCAGTCCAGTAAAACCTGTCTAAGTGGAACACATTTGGTACCTATGAAAAGTGTTCCACTTTGGAGGTGCTCCACTTATAGAGGTTCATTTAACCTTAAGTCAGTTGGTCTTTGGACTCTGAAAAGTGTTCAACTTCTAGACGTGTTCAACTTTACAGGTTTCACTGTATTTGCTTAACTTATATTTCAATGTATGTCTAGTCAATATTTCTATATTAGTATTTTGCTAATACCTAATTTATATCAAAAAGCCAATCCAGAGGAAGTTCAGGTTTAGGATATTTCCCAGAATTCACAAGCCTATCCCTATGTTGAGAAGAACCTATAGAGATTCATTTTTATATGAAGATAGCATCATCTATGAATTCTGGGATATTCCCCTTCTTGCTATACCTTTAATTTTGCTTTTTCATCTTTAGTTAGTGGAGCAAGCTGGTTGAATGTGGCAACATTGGCCTTCATTGACTGAATTGTAATCGTGCCTCTTTCGGTGAACTCGGCATCTGGAAAATTAAAAGTACATTATTACCTTATTTCTGATAGATATTAACAGCAATAATATAAACAAGGCATCCAAGCATGCAAATTATCACCACCTGCCATTTGTTACAGACACCGGACACCAAATACCACCAATTGAACACTGACTGCAGAACACCAACCAGCAATCATCATTAACAAAAAAGTTGGACGATAAAAATATCACGACTTTTGGTGACAGAGTTACAAAGACACACAAATGTGTGTTTAATTTGCAAATTCATAGAATCGATTCATAAAAATAAATCACTTTAACCAACATATTTCTATGGGCTGCATTGAAAAGTAATTCCTCATACTAAATATGCAGTGATTTAATTGTTGTTTTGTACCAAATATGAAAATGAAGCAGGGGTGTAACAGGACCTTTTCCCCATGGACATAAGTAGAAGCATTATTTGGTCTCACAAATCTATTTGAAATAGAAAAGTCTAGTTTAATGTAATAAATTCAAGGTTACCTGATCCGAATGCATGTTCAACAGGGAATGATGAACGTCCTTCAAACTCCTCGTCAGTCTAAAACATGCAAAGAAATAAATGTCAAAGTTTAAAAAATCACGAATCTTGTTTGTATCTCATGAACTCCAAACATCCTTGACATTAGTTGGCGACCTACTTATTGAACAAAAAACAATTACGTTTTGGTGAGTTTGATCATTTCATTATATCAAACTGTACCCGCCTATAAACACATAATTTTGCTTTTAGTTTAAGATGAAATCTCTTCAACATATTCACCAATTTTCATGGTGAACATTATTATAAATAATAAATAAACCAGAAATTTATATCAAGGGAGGAGCTTTTTCCAAGGCGGAGCTTTTTGACAGTTTAGGCTAAAAAAACATGCAAAAAGTGCTTTGAAAGAATTTCTAGCCGGGGGTGGGGGGTGTTTCCCCAGCTGATGCTCATTACTGATTAACTACTGTATGCGACAACATGAGAAGCAGGGTTCTCACTAGGAAATGTTTAAGCCCCAGATTTTTGCGGTATCGTGACTTCTCCCCCCCCCCATGTGAGATAAGAAATACTTTTCAAAATACTACTGAAGATTATCTTCCTATTTTAATCATATTTATACAGACTGACTTCTGACTTCCTATTTCTTGTTTGTATCCAGTTTTATGTATTTTCTCATGGGCTTTCAATACCATGATTTTCTCAAGAGTGTAAATAATGTGACAAAAATGTAAAATTAGACTATGGAAAAAACACTTCAGACTCTTGAAAGGCTATTAGACTCTGGAGCAAGAGGGTCTAAAGACATTAGACCCTGGAGAATCTCCAGACCCGGATATATACTCCCATACGTGGAAGTACGGACAAATATTAGCCTCTGCTCGTAACACGTGATTGGGAAATCAAGAGAAATTGATTGGTTACACTGTGCGTATTAATCGATAACCCAAAGTGCGGTGAACTAATATCAACAAAACTTTGACTCAAATTTCTTTTCGCTGAGATTTATTGCAATATTTCATTCATTTTGATTTTGAAACGTAAAATAATAATTATTTCATAATAATATTTTAAAAATAAAATTGAATTCATCTACGTTGAAAGGGGGACTACATTCGACAATTTTTGATTATTCCTTCTGCCTACCGCAGTGTTTTATACCGACACACTGCCATGCCTTGCAACAATTTTCGTTCAGTGCAGTCGTGCCTATCTACAAATGTCAGTTGCTGGATATAGGATATTTTTTTAGAAATCTACATTTTTACTAAACGCAACACAGATGTTGATACATATTGAACTATAACAGCACATATAAAGCAACTATCGATCAACAGTTTTATAGAAATATGTCATCTTAAAACATAAGACAACGCAATTTTTTTCATGCAGTGAATCATGTTTTTTACAAATTTTTCAGAACAAATATCCTTCTAAAACTCTCTAGGGGAAATGGTCCTAATTATCGCACAATCCTAATTATCGCACGATTGTCCTAAATAGCTAAAATATGCACCTGCCATCTTTAAAAAAGATTTTTTTCGTAACCAGTGTTACGAAAAACAGTTCAACACCATTACTCCCAATCTTCTTGATTTATTCATATTATATCTCTTCATATTTTAAGAATTGTTTACTTCCGCTATTTTCATAAATGCTATTGTGCAAGAAGTGAAATTTGTCTGACAAAATTTGACCCCCCTCCAAATAAAGACAGAAAAGTAAGTGTATAATCTATATTTTGTTGATATTTTACACTAAAACTGATAGAAAAATTACTATAACATATGTACGTATCTGTTATAAACAGAGAAATGTATACAGTATCGTGAAATGACATCTGAAACACAACTGTGCGATAATTAGGACGACTGTGCGATAATTAGGACCACCTCACATGCAAGTCTAAGGGGTCTTAAAGTGTTAGCGTCCGGAAATTGAGAAATGTCAAACACTACTTAAATTTCAGAAGAAAGGTTGATCTTTCGTCTCATATTCTCAAAGTAAGATGAAAATATCATATTTGAAATCGTCAATAGTTTTCAAGAGTACCCGTGCGGTGATAGGACCATTTCCCCTACGTGTAATAATAATGCCACACACTTTTATCTACTTAACAGGGGTGGAATAGCAATACACTGCAGAGACGAAGAAGATAAACAGGAGATACTGAACTACAGCTGGCCGAAAGAAGCTTTCAACCACTCAGGTAATAAAATACAGGTTCATGAATCTGTTCAAAACACGAAAATAGCCAGGTGTATCTTGCGAGGTGTTCACCAAAAGTTAACTGATGACTTCATTCAAAGCACTATAGAGGATAAAATAGAAAGGAAAGTTACAATTAGACGCCTCAGATATAGAGACACTGGCAAATATCTCCCTATAGTACATGTTATGTGCAAAAGTCAGGAAGACTTAAGTAAGTTATATCAAATCAAAATCTCAGTAGGAAATAAAACATGGAAACCAGAACCTTACATCAAGGCAAAGTATAGGGTGATCAGGTGTTTTAAATGTCAAGAGTACGGGCACGTAGCCAATATATGCCAAAATAATGTGCGCTGTGAAAGATGCAGCCAAAAGCACAATAGCTACCAATGCTCAGAAGCAATGAAATGTGCGAACTGTGGGAGCAACCATAAAGCAAGTGATGTAAAATGCCCCAGATTTATAGATACAAAGAACACTATTAGTAAAAGAACATAATCAAAATGTACCAAATAAAGTCCATGCACACAACATTGTATATATGTTTCTTATTGCAATTTGTATATTATATAAACTTATGTATGTTTAAAAAAGATAACTATAGCAAAATGAGAGTAGCCCAAGTAAATGTGAGATCATCCATAGAATATTTGGAAAAAATAATAGACCAGAAGGTAAGTGTTTTCTGTCTCACTGAGATCTGGGACCCAGAATTCCAGAATATGAAAGTACTCAATAACTGGAACTGGAATATTACAAAACGAGGTAACAGACGAGGAGGTGGAGCGGCAATAGTAACCTCAAATCAGGTAAAGGTTATCGAAAGAAAAGACCTGAATCACAATGATATAGAAGCAGTATGGAGTGAAATATATCATGAAAGCTCACATTTTATCCTTGCCTCAATTTACATCCCTCCAGAGGATAAAGAGTCCCTGGCAAAATTCATTGAACACTTCAATCAAAAAATCAAACATGTAAAAATGCCCATCGTGCTAACAGGGGATCTAAATGCTAAACATCCATTATGGAGCTGTAATAAGACCAATGAGGCAGGGGTAGCTATAGCCAACATGATCATGACTAACGACCTAAGTATCATGAACAATGAAACCCCTACCAGAGGACAAACCATTATAGACCTCACAATAGCTACAAGTAGCATGAAGCATGAAATAAGTAAATGGATGGTAAGGGATGACATATATCTGAACACGGACCATAATCTGATATTATTTGATATAGGAAGAGAGCAAGAGGAACTTATAGAGGAAAGGTATGACTACAGAAAATCTAACTGGACAGAATATCAAAATGCATGTAATAATATTTTCTCTAATTGGATTTCAGAATTCTCTGATAGGACCACAACTGAGGAAGATTACAAATCTTTCCGACAGGCGATTTTTCAAGCGGCGGATACTGTAGATTGGGTTAATTTGGCGCTACTTAATTTGGCGATTTTGCCATTTTTGGCATATTGGCGGCTATTTAATTTGGCGGATATGCAAAAAAAATTTCAAACTTACGTGCTGTTTCCTAATTACCACGTAAATGGGCATCTTTGGCTATGTTCATTTTTTCTTATGAGGACCATTGGCGATATTCATCACGTTTGTACATTTTTGATATCTAATAAGATCATCCTTTACATTTTGCACCTCGATCGATGCTGCTTCTATACCACGCTTTTCCTTTCCTAGTTTTTCCCTGAGTATTAATGAGTGACTGACCAGTTCTGAGCCAATTTATGAGAGACATTTTTTCACATTTTTGGAAAAAACTAAACCGGAAGTGACCTAAATATACTGGACGAAATACCCTAGATAATTCCCGGGGATTCATTCTAAATTTTGGCGAAGATTTATATTGGCGAATTTTTCAATTTCGCCAAATTCGCCAAATTAAAGCGGGCGCCAAATTAACCCAATCTACAGTACAACCCTTACAAAAAAGAAAGTAAGTAAGTATTCTAAATCTTGGTGGAATGAACAACTCTCAAACCAAATAAAAATTGTCAGAAAAGCCGGCAGAAAGTTCAAACTCAGACGAGACCCCACCAATGAAAATGTCTATATAAAAGAAAGAACGAAATTCAAAGAAATGGCTGATACAGCAAGACAAACATACTGGAATGAGCTTTTTCAAACCCTGGACTCGAAAAACAGTAATGATATGTGGAAAGTTGTGAAAAAACATTAAATCAAGATAAAAAAATAGTCCAGCCAATTAAAAGAGAAGATGACACCATAGCATTCTCAGATGAAGAGATTGCTACAGAAATGCTAAATCATTATGGCAAGGAATGCCTAGACGTACAGAACACATACAATACATGGTATAATCATGTTCAATCATATGTATCAGAATTCCTCCATAATGAAAAGGAGAGAATATGTGATAATACTTACAATGGTAATTCAGACCTGGGTGCTGAAGATATCACAAAGCATGAAGTATATAAAGCCATAAAAGAGCCAAATCAGCTCCCAGCCCCAGGGAAAAAATCCAATATATTCTCATACAAAAGGGAGGAAATATCTTAATAGACGCTCTGCTACTTATGTACCAAAAGAGCTGGAAGTTAGTTGAGATTCCCCTTGAATATACAATTGACCCAAAACATATGATCCCAAAACCAAACAAACCAACATACAACAAATCAACATCATATAGACCTATAACATTAGAATCAATCCTAGGTAAGCTCTATGAAAAAATTATATCATATAGATACTCATGGATTGCATTGAAACTTAACCTAACATCTCCATTTCAGGAAGCCTACTTAGAGCAACACAACTGCCAACAAATATTGCTGAGGCTAACACAAGAGGTGCAACAAGGTTTGAACGACAAACTACACACAGTAGCAGTAACAATAGACTATGAGTCATGTTTTGAACGTATCTGGCGGGAAGGGCTACTCTACAAATTAATCAAGAAAGGACTTAGAAGCAGAACCCTGTGTTATATCGCGGAATACCTACTTAAGAGACAATACTCAATCACTGTAAATAACTACACAACACCTCTGAGGAGGTCTTCTATTGGTATACCTCAGGGGGCTGTAATTAGCCCGCAGCTCTGCAACACCTACACAGCAGATGCTCTCGTTAACATTAAAGCCAGCTATGGTGAATATGCTGATGCCATTATCATCTGGTCAAGTGACAAAGATCTAAACAAAGCTATTGAATCAATACAAGATGATCTAACAACCATTCAAACATGGTGCGCAAAATGGAACATGAGTTTTGCGCCAAGTAAAACTAAAGCAATTGTCTTCTCACCACCTAAACTTCAAACAGTGAAACCCAACTCTATACAGCTAGATAAGGGTCATGTTGACATAGTCAAATCAACCAAAGTCCTTGGTGTAATTCTAGATGAGAATTTAGAATACAACCTACATGTAAGAGACAGAACTAAAAAGGGCTTTGCAGCATTGAAAAGAATCTCCGACTTCACTAGTGCAAATGCTGGATGCACACAGTCAGCTTTTGTGTACTTATATAAAAATCTAGTTTTACCAAACATAGATTATGGCTGTGTCTTACTAGCCTGTACACATAGAGAAGCTACAATACAATTTCAGAAAGTCCAAAGGCTGGCTTTGCTGAAAGCATCAGGGTGCATGTACACAACAAGCTCTGATGCACTGGATGTCATAACAAACTGCCAACCTATTGACATACACTTAAGAAAGCGTCAATGCCAAGAATTTACCAGAGTTCTATGTAAAAATGAAAATGATCCTTTAACAAAAACTCTGAACTCATGGAAAGAGAAATCCCAAGCAACAATTGAAAAGAAACCCACAACCTTCAACATTTTAAACTCCAGACTCAGGGAATTTAACCCATCTAGAGACACATGTTATGAAAAGGAATTCAAAACAAATCTAGAATTTCCACCATATCAACTAAATATCAAGGAAGGTAGTGACACAACAGGGGTGAGTAAAATAGAACAATGTAAAATAATTGAAGAGAAGATAAAAACATTGAGCAATAAATCTGTGATTGTCTTCACTGACGGTTCAACTTTGACTAATCCAGGACCAACAGGGTCTAGCACGATCATATTTCTAGCCTGAACAAAGTCTGATCCTGTTTGCTTGAAAAAAGCAGTCAGTGCGAAAAGCAATAACTTTAGTGGGGAGGTTCATGCTTTGCACCTTGCACTTGATTTCCTGCACACTTTACCTATTAACAATTCTGAAATTCACATCTTTGGCGATTGCCAACCTGCACTTTCAGAAGTAGCAAACCCAGGTCTGAAATAAATCCATTTTACAGGAAAGTGACGTAACGAAAAACCAAGTTCGTGCTATTACGGAAGAGCTCGGGAAATTCCGTTATAACCGCCATCTTAATCGAACTTCGACCAAAAGAGCCATAAGAAACAAAAAGACCTCGTTCTGCCAACTAACCCAGACAATCGACGGTTCCAATATATTAGAAGTTACTCTACTCTGACTTCTGTCAGCTCTGGGAAGTTGGATCGAAAATTCTTGAAGAGGAAAAATCGAGCCCATTTTGAATAAACGCTGTGCTGAGTAGCGTTTATAACACACTATATATTTGAATCAATACATAATTTATTTGTTGTTACCTTATTTTGATCCTTCAACAGTCTGTTGTTGTATTAAATCAATGTTCTATCAGTTAACAAAACTTTTGAATTTGGATTGCAGCCATTTTAGGTCTCGCGAGACCTCTTGACTTTCGAAAGTTAAGATTTGCTACAAAATAACTCGCGTTAGCTAAATATGTATAGTCACGTGATCCTTTAGCGGCGATGCCCATGCGCCTGTAAAGTATAATGCGCATGTGCCCGCATGCGCAAAAATTAAAAAATGGTGCGCGCCAGATCTGGAATTTCTCTATTTAATTGCAAATTACACAACAAGTAGGACTTATTGTCACCACGCATCATGAAAAGGGCAAGTTAAATTCAATTATCTTCTTAAATACCGTTAACTTATTCCAGCGCGCCTGCTGGAAGTTGGAGTAAAACACTTCACAAGACAGTATATTTGAACGGTCTGTCAGCTGGCTTTTGAGCCAGCTGTGTTCAGTAAATTAGAAGTAACATTTTAAGTTCTAGAATGCATTGAGGTAGGTTTCTTAAGTGGAAGGGGCGTAGATAATTCTCCCAAGTTGTAATATCGTACAGGCAAATGTATGGGCTCCGGGATAAGTGTATATTACCTTCCCTGTGATATAAAATGCTTCATCGTTCATTCGTTGGTCGTGTAAAAAATCAATTTATTTTGTTCTTCTTGGTGTAACTCATCTTTTGAATCATCCTCTACGTCAAAGATCTCGCAACGTGTGGTTTGTATTAAAGAAAACAGTATATTAAAGTTATTAGGATTACTCACCTGAGATACTTGAGATATTCCAATTAATATAGCGAAAATCGAACAAATTCGCAGTAGTGAGAGCGACATTTTGAAAGCATTGCACTCTGGGTAGCTTAGAACCAATCAAATTAGTTGTTATATTCAAAACATTACTTGGACCAATCAAAATCAGTTTCACAAAGGGTTCGGAAATATGAGACAAGGAACTGGAACTGTGAAGAAAATTAACTTCTGCTGAGTATTAGCGATATTACTGCGGCGAGAGCCGATTAAAACGCCCCACCATGGATGAAGAATACCTCTCTGATGATGACTTCCTATTCTATTCAGTTCTGTATTCAACAATCACCGTCATTTTTGCGATGGCTATTCTCACAAAATTCTTGATGAATGAAATCAGATTTGGATTTCGTTCATGCCTCAGTCTGGTTGTGCTATTTATTGGTGAGCCACTCTGTCATTTCCTAGTGAAGGGGCCTGCTGGAGTTGCGATATTTGGACTTGGATGTCTGTTTGTTCATTCCATATTACCTGCAAGCCATCTTCCCGTTGGGAGCAAATCGGTGCTGATAACTGGTAAGGATATGCGTGTTACTTACTTCATCATTTGAATACATTATTGATCATTATATCGCGCTTATTCCTATTTAATTTTTGTCGGCTTTTCCCATTCTTAACCATATCCATGATTGTTTACCTCTAATCATTACGTATAGAATGTTTATTTTAGAAAATGTATTTTGCAGGTTGTGACAGTGGGTTTGGCCACGCCTTAGCCCTAACATTAGATAGCATAGGCATAAAGGTGTTTGCTGGTTGCCTCTACAAAGATGGCCCAGGTGCTATAGAACTAACTAATAAATCATCAGAAAGGTAATATTATATAAAATCAAAATACATGTACAGCTAAACCTGTTTGATCTGATTGCTGCTGAAACTGGTCGAAATAGCATATGTTCACATTTCAATGGAGTCAAAATAACAAAATTGGGATTGAGAAAAACTCTTCATACTTAGAGGTGTTTGGATATCAGATGTATTCAGATTTACATGTTTTTACTGTGCTATAGATAAATGCATTAATTTGCTGTACATTATAAAAGACATGACTTTGTATTTTACAGGTTAACCATTCTACAACTTGATGTAACAAGCAGCACAGACATACAGAAAGCTTATGATCTCATTAAAGTTGATGTAGGAGAGAAAGGTAGGATATTTATTATTGCGTCATAAATCACAGAATTTTGGTCTTTATTCCTTAATTATATACCAATGATCGCCCAAACATTTACATGTACATTGATTTCAAGAGTTCAGTTTGTTTTGTTTGTTTCATCAATTTTGAAAAATAGAAAGCAAAATTTGAAATTTGCACATAGTAGGATTTGGGACAATAAAAGTTAAATCAACTTAGATTTATGTTTGGGAATGATGCTCTCTTGTGGCAATTAAATGGGAAAGAAATTAGATAAAGTGTTTTTAACTGAGGTGGTATTGAATGATCATGAACTTGTATCTGAAACCTGTTTATGCCAACACTTCTAATAGTTTAAGCTTGGAATGTGAAAAACTTGTGTTCCATTGACTCCCACTGTTATAAAAACATGTCATGGTAATAATGCAGATGCGAGTAGGTAGTTACTAGTTTCACCACCAGGTGGCTCGTTCGGGTCAGATAGCATGGCGGGTATAGTAGAAAGTTCCCTCTTAAATTACATCTGTTTTAGTGGTTCAATCTTCATATAACCCTTATGTATCTAATAGTTATGCAAATCAAAATATGTGCAGTCAATGAAAATGTTATCTGACCAATACAAGAAAAGATATTTCACTTTTTGTGATTTTGTAACATGGGCTTTAGAGAATCAACCCGAACTAGAAGTCACACTTTCAAAAATAATTAAATTTTCAAACTTGATAAAAAAATTTCGAAACCATATTTCTAAATGTACTTTTACATGTAGATTTCAAATATAACATCCCTTTGACTGAATTTTGAATATTTAATGGCGTAAATCAGGATTTTTTTCTACTCGCATCTAGTCAATTAACTCACAATGTGAAACAATTAGCCTACTTTACAATGTAGGTATGCAGGTTTTACTATATTAATTAAAAGTTCACAAGAATTCCATATTACCATTTAGTCAACATACATGTATAGTACAGTAAAACAGTAAAACCTGTCTTGTTCAAACGTCACTCTGACTGGCCAAAATATTTTGAATATGTGGAAATCTACGTGGTAGATAAAATGGGACAGAAAAAATCCAAAAAGTGTTCACATTGGGAGGTGTTCAGATATGAAGGGGTGTTCTCTAGACGCAGGTGTTCATTAGTGAAGGATGTTCATTAAGGCAGGTTCCTATGTAGTATTCATTGTACTTTGATTGATCTATTTCAATAAATTAAATCCAAAATTACTGAAATAGTCATAATTATATATGACAAATAAACTTTGATTTTAGAATAATATTATAATTTGATTTCTTTTGACATAAATGTCTGAGTGCAGTACAGCATGAATTTCAGCACTTGATTCTAGATGAGAGAAACAAAAATTATGCAAAAAAAGAATTTAATTACCTTGTCAAAGTGTCTTGAATGTCAGTAATTTTTTACATAACTCTAGACACATTTCTCGGTTGGGCATTAAGCAGTCACTCCATTGGTAGAAATCCATGCTGTGTTAATGTTGTGAGTAAACCACAAAAAATGTATCATTTTCACATGTCAGTTAATGATACGATGCCAGCTACAAATTGGTGCAGACAAAATTCCAATGTTATGGAAACAAACGCAGTAAAGTAAAGTAAACTGACATACATGTATTTAGTTATGCTAGCATTTTTATTGAATGATTTGAAATGTTATGATTGCAATTGCAATTTTGTATTCTCCATTCATCCATACTACTTTTGATTGTTATTAGCCTCAGTATTGCCAATCCATAAATTTAAAAAAATGTTATTTTGATTTTTATGTCACCACCACAGCGCTTGCATTAGGCTCTGAAAAATGTGAGTCCCAATGAAGGAAAACATTTTAAAAAGTGAGTCCCGACAGAAAAAAGTGTGTCCTCCAATATATAAGCTAAATTAGCTATAATGGGCTATTTTGGAATGTGCATGACTTGATCTTACATGTCTTATGTGTTTTCAAAATGTTGCCATTCGTGCCCTGTGATTTAAACATGTTCTATATATTCAATTCACTTATGTTAGGTAACCTCCAGCCTGTTATAGTAAGTACTATTATACTGTGATTATCTTTATACTTGCTGTTTGCACTGAACAACTGCTTGAAAAAATAAGAACATTTTTTAGTATGAATTTGTCTGACGCTCAGTAATTTAGTGTAGCATTACATTTTCTACATGATCAGAATCCTCTGATTTATATCATAAATTAGACCATTTTGACGTTATAAAATCAGAAATAGACTACTTCACCTAGGTAAGTATGCATCATTTGTACAATTGAACTCATTTTGAAGGTTTTATATCAGCTTTTCAGTGAGAAAAATATGTCACATGCAAACTGATAACCTATTATCGCCCATTACAATAGTTCGTTTTTCTGCATTCTTTTTCTTTTTTACTCAAAATAAAGTTGTAAATCTCACATATTTTGATCTTAATATACACCTCAAAGAAGTCAAACATGATCAACTATTGAGATTTTCAAGATTTTCAAAAAATGTACAAAGTTTTGACTCAATTTTTTTTCCGTCCCAAAAACGGAAATATTTTTTATTTTTCCGTCCTACAATTTTTTTTTGCGTCACTTACATGTAAGGGACGCCGTTAATGCAAGCCCTGCCACCAGAAGTGATAACATATTGCTATGGTCTCCAACTTTTTTGTGGATGGTGGTTGGCATCTGGTGATTCGGCATCTGTAACAAATGGCATGTGGTTACAGTTTGCATGTCAATGCCTTGTTTGTATTTATTGCAGTATACAAATATACAGGGTGATCATAACATACTCATGATTATATCTCTTGATTTTTGTAACATTTAAGATCAAGTAACATTACAATGGCATGAAACAACCAAGATTTCAGTATAACAGGCCTATTAGCCTATGGTTGCCATAGTTACTGTAGCTAAAACCAAGATACCTGAGACAAATTAAATACATCTATTTGATTCAAATACATCATTCTCTTACATTTTGGATTATGATTTTGGATAGTTGGGTTTGTTTTCTTCATAACTGGTGTACTCTTAGATGTTTTCTTTTTCTTAATTCTTTCTTTCCCGTTGGATTATGAGTTGTGATAGTTGGGGTTTGTTTTCTTCATGACTGGTGTACTCCTAGATGTTTTCTGCTGTGTTCTGTAACCATGGCTAGCATATCTGATCAAACATTTCTATTGAACTAAATATTAAAACTGAAATTAATTTTGTCTCTAATTTCAGGTCTATGGGGCTTGGTGAACAATGCTGGAGTAGCCTATATTGCAGACATAGAACTAACTCCTAACTGTATCGTTGACAAAGTCCTCAATACAAACTTAAAGGGACCAATATTTGTTACAAAAAAATTCTTGCCTCTTATACGACAGGCCCAGGGGCGCATAGTCAATGTCTCTAGTCTAGCAGGTAAGAACACAATGTGTATTATCCTTGCATATTTATTATTTAAGTCAATGTTTTTATCCAGCTTGAAAACATACTCATAATCATATGTAAAAAAAAAATATTATGAAAAATAACTCTTTATCTACTCCAAGGGAAACAATCAGGCCCATGGCAAGCTTTAGCAAAAAGAGATTCAGTTTCTAAAAGATCCAGGGAGCTCAAATTTGACAATTTTGGCCTTAAATCACCTGAAAAGTGCTTGAAATTGTGTAACTGCATGGTTTTGAAAGAAATTTTGGCCAGGGATGGGGTTAATTTAACCACCCTAATGTCATTAGCTATGCCCAGCTTGTACTAGGCTTCAAGTCCATGACGGCAGAAATTGTCATGGTGTGTTACACAGTCGTATCACTGAATGATTTTGAAAGAATTTTTGGCCAAGGGGGGTTACTTGAACCACCCTAATGCCCTTGACTAGAGGCCTGCACCATCTTTCAAGTCCATGATGGTAGAAATTGTCTCGGAGTTATACAGTCACTTTCAGGCTTGAACCAATCACCAAGGTTGTTATAAACTTGCCTTGGGAGGGATCTATTATGTAACATCTCGCACAGTTTACACCAGCTTGGATAGTCATTCATTGTCGCAATGGAATGACTCCGCCAACTAAAATGTTTTAAATAAGCTTCATCATTCTGGTCTAACCATATAAGGTGTCTCGCGAGAGTTTCTGGCGTTTTGAAGTCTCTGACATCAATGTATGACCCTCTTGGTAGATGTTTTGTGTAATCTGCATTTCCCATTACTATGGGAACTACATCCATTGATTCTAGAATTTTCCAAGGTTTTTCAGTGATGTAGTCTCTGCATAATGAGTTCTCAAAGGCAATGTAGAATTTGTAATGTTTGGAAAAGAATTCATCGCAAAGACTCGAATCATTTATTTCACATTTAAGATCCCCACACTGGCCGTAAATATCAACTGGTATATAATTCTGTAAATCCTCAACAAACTTTTCTCGTAAACTTAGCGTCTCACAGTTGCTTACTCGCCAAAACGCAAGTTTGAACTTAGTGTCTAGTTTAGGTTTTTGTATAGTGTGGTCTACTGTTTCCTCCATATGCCCATATGGAATTGGGATGTCAGATTCTAGTTTGTACGTCATGGTCCAATTAAAAACTCCATTAAAAGTCCAGGCAGGGCTAGCCATATAGCTAGGTGACTCTAGGTTGTAGTAGATCCATCTTTGATCATCTGAACGCTCTTTCGGTAGACCCATCATGGGCCCCCCGTAAATGTCCCGTGCGTGCAGAATCACAGCGCTACTTTTCACCATTAGACTCTTATCCTCTGTTAGCTTACATCTATACTCAATAGGACACCTGTTAAAGATTTGATCTGATCTTGCAATATGCCGATCCGTTTCCCCAAAGAACTTTGTGTAAAATAAAATCAGTTTTGTTTCGACTAGAACATTCTTGAGATCATCTTTAACAAAATAAGGCTGAAGTGTCCGTTTTTCATATTTGATCAAATTGCTAAAATCCTTCTTTCTGTGGAGAGCTATTTGCAATTTACGAGATTTACCAATTAGAAAATTTAATGGAATATATCCAGTTGTAAACATGAATATGATAATTCCATAGAATAATATGTTATTTTTGCGTATCACTTGACGAAGTCTTGGCATTTTAGCAAGCAAGTTAAAACTGTGTTTGTCTGTTTTGTATTTCATTAAGGTGAGACGAGTGTGTCATCTTTGGGTCCTAGTACCTGACTTGTTAAAGTGTACACATCCAATTACTCATGGACATTGCCTACCTAAATTAACATACATTTACTGTCAGAGAAATGGCTCCAGGCAAAACCAGCTGATGTTCTCTGTCGTCATGTATAGTATATTAAGAGTTACAATAGATATCTATCTAAACTGACATAACCCTGACTTGTTATAGCTATTTATTACGATCCTCTAACTTTATCTAATGATTTATAGTTATGGTTGATAATTAATGATAAGATCTCAATCTTCAATGTAAATTGCAATGCTTTTTATGAGTACAGCTGAAATTTTCTTAAGTTTGAAAATATTTTCTTGTCATTCATTTACTATTTTCTATCACTTTAAAAGTTATTTTAGAGATTTTTGAAAAAAAAATTAAGTACATGTTTAAGTGAATAAAAGTTGTCTGATTTTATTTTTCAAATATTCGAATTTCCCACCATTTTGAAATAAAAGTTGAAATTTTTTAATCATCAAATATTTGACCATTCAGTGCAAAACATATTAAGTTTTTAACACCACTATGAAGATTAATCTAAGGACTTACTATATGAATAATAAAATATCATACCTAATGTGCCACTTAAATGTTTTAGCATTATAAAAAACTTGTGCACCCTAAGTGACATCATTGTGATGTCATCATTCTGTTGCGAAGCATGGCATAAATATATGATCACCTCTTGTATATCTTATTCTATTCCATTGCAGGAAAAGTTCCCACAGAGCTGTATGGCGCATATTCTGTTGCAAAGCATGGCATAAATATATGATCACCTCTTGTATATCTTATTCTATTCCATTGCAGGAAAAGTTCCAACAGAGCTGTATGGCGCATACATGTATTCTGTTGCGAAGCATGGCATAAATATATGATCACCTCTTGTATATCTTATTCTTTTCCATTGCAGGAAAAGTTCCCACAGAGCTGTATGGCGCATATTCTGTTGCAAAGCATGGCATAGAGGCATTCTCTGATGTCTTGCGTATGGAGATGAAGAAATGGAATGTTAAAGTGTCTGTCATACAACCAAGTGGATTTCTCACAGGTTAGGGTTCAGTTTGTGTATGTACTGACTGGTTGATGGTCCATATTAGGGTAAATTGACTTTTTCATGTGAGCGTTTATGCGCAGGATTTCATTCTGTGATGTTAAATTCAAGTATGTTTGCCAAATTAACCACTTTTTATGTCTCCACCATGAAGTGGAAATGTGTCTCCAAAAAGGACAAAAACATTTAAACCTGTATATATCGGAACACCCCACTAATACAACACCCCAATGGGAACACTTTTTCTTTGTCAGGTTTCAGGTTTTAAAAACCTTGAAATGTAAAAACCTGTTAATTCAAACACTTTTGGTTGATCCAAGTTGCCTTCCTGAATTAGACAAGTTTTACTGCAATCCCCCACGCTTGCAACATTGCAATTGACTTTCATAAGCGTTGAATTATTAATATATTGAAATTGCTGTTTCATACTTTCTAAGCATTAAAGTATTGTTATATTGAAATTGCTGTTTCATACTTTCTTAAGCATTAAAGTATTGTTATATTGAAATTGCTGTTTCATACTTTCTTAGGCATTAAAGTATTGTTTTATTGAAATTGCTGTTTCAACTTTCTTAAGCATTAAAGTATTGTTATATTGAAATTGCTGTTTCATACTTTCTTAGGCATTAAAGTATTGTTTTATTGAAATTGCTGTTTCAACTTTCTTAAGCATGAAAGTATTGTTATATTGAAATTGTTGTTTCATACTTTCTTAGGAATTAAAGTATTGTTATATTGAAATTGCTGTTTCATACTTTCTTAAGCATTAAAGTATTGTTATATTGAAATTGCTGTTTCATACTTTCTTAGGAATTAAAGTATTGTTATATTGAAATTGCTGTTTCAACTTTCTTAAACATTAAAGTATTGTTATATTGAAATTGCTGTTTCATACTTTCTTAAGCATTAAAGTATTGTTATATTGAAATTGCTGTTTCATACTTTCTTAGGAATTAAAGTATTGTTATATTGAAATTGCTGTTTCATACTTTCTTAAGCATTAAAGTATTGTTATATTGAAATTGCTGTTTCAACTTTCTTAAACATTAAAGTATTGTTATATTGAAATTGCTGTTTCATACTTTCTTAGGAATTAAAGTATTGTTATATTGAAATTGCTGTTTCATACTTTCTTAAGCATTAAAGTATTGTTATATTGAAATTGCTGTTTCATACTTTCTTAGGAATTAAAGTATTGTTATATTGAAATTGCTGTTTCAACTTTCTTAAACATTAAAGTATTGTTATATTGAAATTGCTGTTTCAGCTGCCCTATCAGACCCATTACTAAAAGCACATGAGGAGGAAATTTGGAGCAATCTCGATACAACCACTAGAGACACCTATGGGAGAGACTATTTGGAGAATACCCGAGAACAAATGTCTAAATATACTAAAAATAACAAAGTATTCGCCCAAGACATCACTCCAGTTGTGCGTGCAATGAGAAGTGGACTTTTATCGAAACGTCCACGTGCAAAGTACCCTTGTGGTACTGGTGCCGAGACCATGTTGACAATTTACCCAATATTGCCGATTTGGTTGGCGGATAAGGTTCCTACCATAAGACTCAATGTTCTACCAAAGATTTTGCAAAACATTAAATGATGTTTTGTCTACATTGATGGTGCTGCCAATTTGTAAGCATTTAGCAACCATATCAATGATTCGGTATTGCCATTAGATGTAACTTTGTTAATGGACTCACTCATGTAATGGAAAACTTCCCTCAAATGCAGTTTAACTATGAACCCTCCCATCTTTTGATACATCTGATAAACTATGATATTTTGAATAGATTGATGATGTCATTGGTTGTAGGTATAAATAGGATTAAATATAACCTTATAACCTTGATTATCTGTTTTTAAAAAGTATTTCATCGTCAATCTATCCAATAGCATAGCTTGTTTGATTTACTAGAAAGTGGCAGGGTTTTATTGGTCTATTGTTGCGTATTTTGCAACTACATGTACACTTAATTTGCCAAAGGTCAATATTTGTAGCAGGATCTTAATTTTTGACACAAAAACTGTACATAAAGTTGTGTTCAGTGATAGTGATGTTTTCATCTTCTAGATTTTTGTAATGAATTTAAAAATGTCATTTTAAAAATGACAAAAATATCTCAAATGTTTTAGTGGTCAGAAGATAAAAAAATTAGAGTTAAAATTGTTGTGTAAAAACCTTGTCAAAGATGGCGTTTGAATTAATTTTGTCAAAGTAATGGCATATGTAATATTTGGTATATTTTTTATTTATTTAAGTTTTCGCTATAGTTACTGTATATTATTGTATTTATGTTTCCGTTTAATATTGTGATCTTTTTTCTTTGCAACGTTGGCCGTCTTAAGTGATTTGGGAAAATTGGCCCTTAAATTAAATAATTTATGATTATTATGTCACTACAAGAAGTGATGAAATATTGTTATAGTCTCCAACTATTTTGTTGATGGTGGCTGGGGGCTAGTGTTCGACATCTGTAAAAATGGCAGGTGGTTAAATTTTGCATGTTAATGCCTAGTAATTTCTGTCATAACACTATTGAACAGAAGATGATATATACCAGCTGTATGTTTTGAAGAAAAAAGTTATTTATTGAACTAATATTATTATCCTATTTACACGTACAATATAGTGTCAGCAAACTAAAGAAAAAATGAAATACATATAATACTGAACAGAAATATATGATTTATTCATTTCTGATTATCTTGTAACCATATTTTGGGCTAGAGAAGCTATTTGAGTAGATCATGTTTAATAGATGGCGTCCTTTGACAGATTGCCAGATTCCTGGTCAGAACTTCATTTTCTAAAATTTTCTAACTGGTTTATATTTTTATTTGAATATGAAGAAAGCAAAGCTGGCAAAATTAGAAAGATACAAAGCAATATAGAACTTACAATTTACACGTTCTCTGTATAGATGAACAAGCTAGATGTACTATCTAGAAGTACTCTATCTAGAAGTACTCTATCTAGAAGTACTCTATCTTGTGGTCTGCCACTGGTTGACAAAGTAAAAAATTGCCAAAATCACAAATCAATTGAATTAAAAAAAACTGTACTCACTGTTCAGATATCATTTATTTAAACAATAAGGATGGTCATACTCATTAGAAACATTTTGAGGTTCATTTTTTAAACATTGAAAAAAGAAGTTGCCATTTTTGATGTTGTTTTAATGCCCTTTTGCCAGTGGCAAGTTAGAAACAGGACATTAATTCATAGCTTCTCGTATTGGTATTTAGACCTTATTATTAGCAACAGTAAAAGGTAGTTATTTTAACCCTTAGAAATACGTTAGGAAATGTTTGATAGTGCCCTATGTTCTGATTATTTGTAGTGTATAGCATTGAATTGCACATGAAAAAGATGGACGAATGGTGGACATAAGATATAGTAAGCGATTTCATTTCATTTTAAATGAAATAACGCGCTTCGGTTTTAACGTGACATATCCATAAGTCATTTTCAACTAGCCGTAGCACTTGGATTGTAATTCAATTACAAATTTTAACAATATTGCTACAACAGGTGTCTAAAGCATCTAATCACGTGAAGTTAAAATCATTGGTTTTTGACAGGCGATCCTTCATAAGTTAAATCGTGTGTTGCCACGCGATTCGATATATTTACACATATGACAGCTAAATGGAAGCAAAAATTAAATTATTCTATCTTATCAATATAATAGTGGCAATCGCAGTCGCATTTCGACAAATGGTTTTCAACACACCAACTAAAGAGACATACTCGGATTTCTTAGAACCAGGAAATTCTCGAAAGGAAGGAGAAAAATCTAGTCACCCTGTAGACGAGTCTCTCGTCCCAAACATTGTGCATTACATATGGGTGGATTTAAACGGATATTACAAGTTCAACTTTCTACACGCCGTCAGTTTTATTAGTGTCCATAAGAATTGGAAACCCGATGAAATTCTGGTACACGTCAATAAGAATAATCGCCCCCATGGCGAGTGGTGGGATTACGTGATGTCTAATGTGACAACGAAGATACGATTTATATCCTATAATATGGCTCAAATAGATATCTTTGGGGAAAAGCCTAGATATCCTGAACATATTTCCGACATCTTACGTCTTCGTATACTTAAAGGTACGCCTCTTTGGATTAGCTATTTTTATATGATATAATATTTAGATTTAACAACATCGATATACAGAGTGGCTCAATATAAATGTTACAAGCATAAAATCGTTAATATCTTTTATTATTTTGGAGGTTACCCTGAAACAAATTTGAGTGAGTCCTTGAAGAGCAAGCTGTGAAATCTGAAATGCATGAACCTCATGCGAAAATCCAAATTTTTCAAGAATCCATCAAAGGACGAAATCAAAATTGCCAGCATAGAATTCAGTAGACAATTTATGTCAATGAGTATAATGATTCACGTTTTGACACCAACATGAAATTGCAAATCCTAAAAACAAATCTGAAGCTGATCGGGTATCTGGCGCTTGTTTTGTATGTGCGCTATACACATTACTACTCCGTGCACGCCGTGCACAGACATGTATACGTTGTGAAAGGCTTTGAAAGCTCAAAGTCTCTAGTGATCAAGTCAATGTCTATTGGTTAATAGCTTGAATCGTTAAGTTATGGTGTATTCCAAGAAACTATCAATTTAAAAATCCAAAATGATTTTTGTGTTATTCAATCACAAAAAATAGCGCCTACAGATAGTAGCGTTAGCAGCGATGTGTATTTCTGAGTGTTTTAACAAGTTATATTGATTGGGTATAAATAATGGAGAAGTTGCATGTCTGGCATCTTCCGGTGAAAATTAGAAAAAAACAATTCAATACATACTGTATGATAGACCGATGGCCGCGTACCCTGCGTGCAGAGTCTAGTTATAAACTAAATGTAAAGACGAAGATCTCGTTTAAAAAGCGAAGTCGAACAAATGCAAAGGTTTCTCAAGGGTTGCGCAAACGTGTGTCAAATAAAAAGGATGACGCTATTTGCCATAATTCAAGAAAGAATCTCTAATCCCTATTTTAAAACCAAAAATGATTTGATGGAAGATATTGATAAAGTATGGTAAAAACGGATCGCACTAATTTGTATTTTATTTAATATTTATTTTGACATTTGCTTTTTAACAGCGGCACACTATCATTAGGTGCGTCAGGATGTATGTTATGAATTTTGCGATCATTTTGGGGCATTATACCTGCATTATACATTTACAATGTTCTTGTTGCAGAATATGGTGGCACATATATTGATAGTGATGTCATAGCTTTACGATCTCTTGCCCATCTTCGACGCTACAACCATACTCAAGGAATAGGCATTGCATCAAACGGGCTTTCCAATGGTGTAATAATCGCAAAGAAAACATCTAAATTCCTCGATTTGTGGATAGAGGAATATAAAAAATATGGAAAGGAGGAAGTAGGAAGTATATGGAGCCATTATTCGATATTCAAGCCAAGGCGACTCCTTGCCGATTACCCAGATTTAGTCAGAATAGAAAGGAACACTTTGGTTAGACCAGTAGCGGCAGATTATGAACTATTTACAACAAGGAAATACGTTTGGGATCACAGTTATAGTATTCATGTCTGGAGACGTAAAACATATATCCCATATAAACCTGACGACATCAACTTTATATCGAATCAATCGCTCCTACGGGATGTAATGGAATATGTCGTATTTGATAAGATTCCGCCATATGCTACGAGCAAACCATTCTGATTTCGAAGGATACTATGCATCACTGGTGGATCCAGAAGCTAACAAGGGGAAGGGGCAAATTTCTAATTTTAAATTATTTTTGGCCTAAAGTAATGCCCAAAAAGCCCACAAATTGAGGCCCTACAATATCTTTCGACTCCAAATTTTATCTTGGCCCACCCATGGGAGGAGGCCCGGGCCCTATGCCCTCCCCCTCCAGGGATCCACCAGTGTATACATGATCTAATGACCTTCGAGGACTGCGTTTAGGTAGCGAAGAATCCAATGGGTCTAATTATGCACTTGAATGTTGAAAATATCAAAAACTTTATTATATTGAAACTTAGAAATATCTCACCCCGGTAATAATAATTATGAAGAGAAAATGTGATATAATTTATGTAGTGTTGCTGTATATAAGGTTTTAATACACCGATATTTACAAACAAACCAATGGAACATGACTGACAAGAATAATCCTAGAGAAAATAAGTGAACTGCCATCTACAGATTCATGTATGACTCCTGCACATCGTAAAATTGTTAAATACACCATTCCAATGAACATGCTGCCTTTTGGTATATCAAAAAGCTTGGCGGGATCGATGATGTCATTGGTTCCCATACCAACCAATATGGTGCCCAAAATCCATTACACATAACGAACCCAACTAGGCAATTAAGCTTTGATGTATAATCAACAAATTGTTTAGTTTTCTTCGAAATAGGATAGTTTCTAAATAGCAGAAAAATCAATGAAATCTCGTGCTGCCATCTTTTATTCAGCTTTTAACTCTGGCTAGAGCTCCATTCACTTACATGCTAAAATCTTGGAAAAGTGGCTTAATTTCATGATTTATCAAAGTGTGTTTGTTGAATCTGTATAAAACTTGAATGATATACCACATGATGACCCTGTTTATGAACATGTTGTGATTAAACATGCTAATGTTGATTGACATACAAATAATCCACGGTTTTAAAGAATTTTAGCATTGCATCTATGGACATTTGGCCCAACTTTTTTTAAATTGTCATAGAAAATTATTCAAATTACATAACTGTGTAAATCAAAGCTATTTTAGGAGAAAACATTCCACTGAATTCAAATATACCATTTAAAAGAAGGTAATGTAAGTCATTAGAGGTCTAATATGCAAGTCTCTTAAAATCTCACGAAAAACGAGATTTAGCGAGATTTCAAAAGCTATATGGAAACTATACTATTGTGCGGACTTGAGAAAACGCCCGCAATAAGTCCATAGCATGGCATTGGTCATTTTGAAGGTCTCATGTTAATAACACAGTTGCATGCCCTTCTAGTTGAAAGCTCATGATCCAGTCCATGCCATCAAATGCTTTGTTCAATATCATAAATAACGAAGCCAACAAGTCAATTAAGCTTTGATGTATAATCAACAAATTGTTTAGTTTTCTTCAAAATTGTGCGGACTTGAGAAAAACAAATATAACCAATAGATTCCCGACAAATCCTACGCCCGCAATCTTTTTGTCAAGTCTAGTGTTCAGCCAACCTATGATCCATTTGATCAATTCATTAAAAATGTTCATGTATGCTTCTTGGCATGAAAATTGGTCCTGGCACCTGGCAAATGTTGATCTTTGAGATTTCCCTTGAAGATCAGATGTTTCTGCTTATAAAGATCAAATGAGATCAAACGTTCACAATTTGTGTCCTTGTGGTTCGTGGTGCAATAATGGCTCGATAATCAAAATACATTTTATTTTGCTATTTTGTTTTTTTGACCTTCAGTAGGTTTTATTATTGCACATATCATCTACATGACCAGGATCACAATGGATACATACACATATGTATAGAATGACTCTACAGATGATTAAAAAGCTGTCCAGCCCTCTGAAAATGTGCCTGAAAATAATTAAAAGTTGTACTTTCAGAAAGGTCACAAAAAAGTTTCTTTTGAATTTTTCAAAATACGTGCCCAATATATATTGGTTCAAATGATAGGATTTTTAGAAATTTGAATTAATTCCTAGGAATAGAAAAAAGATTTGAAAAGTGATCTATTTACCTTTTTATCACAGCCATTTTTGTTTCACACAAGTTTCTAAATCATCAAAACTCTTATCATTTTAACTTTAAACTATATTTCGGTCACATTTTCAAAGGGTTAAAAAGCTATTTCCTCATGTTTAGGGTCATGTGGAACTAGTGAAAAACTGACTGAATCAAAGCAGAACGCAGTTGTCTTATAGTGTGCGCCAAAACTCCAGAAAATCCCATTAACTGATGTTGAGGTAGGTTACTATGATTTGACCCATAGTCATTATAGATTGGTTCATTGACTATTCATTTTTACTTGTCTGCACTCAAAAAAGTGACACGAACGGGCTAAACGGCTTGCCCCAAGGTGCAACCGGCAAAAAGATGAGTTTGACAAAAATCTTTTTTTTTCAAATAAAAGCAGTGAGTATATGAAATAGGAGGCAGATTTGATATTGATATGTATGATAGTCCATTTGGGTGTGATCATTTTTATTAAAAACAATAATATTGAAGAATTATACATTTCTGACCTTAAAATGCCATTTTAATGCAAAAGTCACAGTTGTTATAAATTATATTCCTATTTTACCTATTCAATGTTTTCTATATATTAGACTTACCATTATATTCATTTTTGTCAAAGTAAATAATAATGGGGTTCACACAAGGATCCACTTTATTTACACCTTTTTCATATTTAGCGATGTTTTGAAAAATTACTACGTTTAACAGAAAATTATTTGTTAAATGTTAAACAAAATAATGATAATGTGTTTGTTTCCCTGTTTCAACTGAAAAATCACAATTCATTGCTCTTGATCTTAGATCGGCAGGGCATATACCAGTATGACCAATCTTCAATACAGTTGATCTTTGTGTGATCCCTACTATTATTTACTTTGCCAAAAACTAATATAATGGTTATTCGGATATATGAAAATCATTTGATAGTCAAAATAAGAATAATATAATTGACTTTTGAATAAAAAAACAATTTATAGTCAGAAGTACCAAATTTGTACCATAATTGTTTTTAAGAGAATAACCATACCCTAATGGACTATCTTTACATATCAAAATCATAAATTTTGCGAAATCTGCTTTAAATTTGCATTTTTGAAAACGCACCTGCTTATACTTATTCAATTTAGAACCACAACAGAAAGTAACTCTTTCATGAAAAACTTCATCAGCTTGACTGAAGATTACTGAGTGCAGTCATTAATATGTCCTCACATTTGGATTACCTCTCTTCTGTTATAATTTTACTTCAAATTGGCAAATTTTATTAAAATTGACATGATAAAACAGAAATGATCGACTATTACTTTTGAAATGTCAATTGAAATGTGTCACCATTGTAATGTGTCACCAAGCGTCACAGCATCTCCCGAGTGCCTTGAAACACCAACACGTAGATATTGACCTTGAGACGATCTTGAATTGAACCATTAAATGATGACTGCCTCATGTCACCTTATCATGAGTCGCCAAGGGCCACATCACGACAGCAGCCCCTGTGGCCTTAAAACGCAAAACACTAAGATATTGAAATTTGACCTTAGATTGACCCTGACCCTAGGTCAAGTTTCAATGGAGTCAAGTGCAGCAGCCGCCCCAAAACCCCAAACATTTAGATATTGATCTTTGACCCTGACCTATAACAATGACACTGATCTCAGGTCACTTTATCATTGGTGATCAAATGTCGGTGTAGCCTCAAACGAGCCAACTACCTAGATATTGACCTTTGACCTTATTATAATTTTGAACATATTGACTTTGACCTCATGTCACCTTAGCATGAGTTGCCAAGGGTCATAGCAGCCCCCAGGGCCTCAAAACGCCAAATACAGAGATTTTGACCTTGTATGAATGACCTTGACCTCAGAACACATATCAATGGGTCCTCACATGAAGCAGCATCCCCAAAAAGCCAAATATTCAGATATTGACCTCTGACCTTGAGATGACCTTGAGCCATAAGCAGTGACATTGACCGTAGGTCACTTTATCTTTGGTGATCAAATGTTACTGAAGACCCACAGTATCTATTACCAGGGGCGGATCTGGGAACCAACAAGGGGGGGGGCCAAACTTGTGGTCAGAGAAAAAAACTTCAGCGCTTGCGCGGAAAAAAATTTTGGGCCCCATAAACCCAAAAGTGGGCCCAAATTTTGAAATTTTGAGGCCCATTTTCTTCAAAATTTGGCCTAAAATTAACAAATAAGGCCTTACAAGGCCAATTTATGACCAAAAAGGCCTACTTTTTGGGGCCTTAAAGGCTCAAAATTTTTTTTGGGCACAATTTTTTTTTTCTGGGCCCACCCAAGGGGGGGGGGCCCGGGCCCCTGGGCCCCCCCCCCCCCCCCATATCCGCCAGTGATTACTGATCTATTCAGACCTTGACTTCAGGTCATCTAATCATTGGTTGTGGAGGGTCAGGTGTCTTAAAAAGTCTAAATATTGACATTTTACCTTGAAATGACCTTGACTTTTGTAGAATACACTTTTTATGAACAAAAATGAAACATTCAAAGTTGAAAACCGACCGTTTGCTGCTAATGTTTCAAAACGAAGGTATCTGTATTGTAAAAGTAATGTTCAAATTGAATAAACTCAAAGAAATATACTTCAATTATTTAATTTTCTATCAGACTAAGTAAAATTGTAACTGTTCTAAATGTAAATGTTGCAATGAAAGCTCACATATATCTTGCTGCATATCAGTCGAGTGCAGCTGCTACAGGTATCACTCTGACAAACATCGATGAACAAATCAAACTTGATGTGATGCAAATCAGTATCTTTTAATTTGGCGTCCAAGCAGAATGTTGGATAAAATGGCTAACTGTTAGATAAACCATCAATAATGGAATTGTCAAAAGTTGCATTTATAAAATTAATTCCTCCTGCCTCATCACTGTTACACCCATTACTACAAGATGTTGTCTCGACTATATCACTGTCTGCAAGCTAAAAAAAAGTATCA